TAAGAGGTGGTAGGACGAATGACCTAAGTTCCCGGGAACCCAAGACGACAGATCCAGAGTTGGGATGGAACTGCAGTGTGCAAACTTGGGTCAGATAACAGGAGGAACTTCCAAAGGCTGGCCCCTGGGGCCTGGCCCCAACTCGCCCCTGTAGCAGAGAAGCCCCACACCAATGGCCTAGTCAAACTGGACTCTGCATTTGCTTTACCGCGGGTCTGATGTTCAAATCTGCTCCAGCTCCACATCTCAGCCCCTCACATGTCCTCCTTGAGTGCTCCCCGCACTGCTGCTCAGCTTGGATTTGTGATCCTTGGTCTTGTCTGTGCACATAAAGGGTGTGCCCGGCAGCCATTCCTCCCTCCACACAGTTGCTGAGTAGCTGGAAAAGCAGCCTAAGGGAGGAGACAGGAATTGGGAGGCCCAGCTGAGCCCGACTCACTGCCCGTGAACAGAGTATCCAGCAGAGACCTGTCCTTCTCTCTCCCTGCAGACCCCTGTCCCCCCAACTGCACACTCCTTAGGTAGCCCCAACCCCAGGCCCCCATCACTGGATGGCTCACACAAGGTTTGAGAGGGGTACAGTGGAGGGAGAGAGAAGTTTCACATCAGAGTCTGGGGAGGAAGCAATCTGGCAAAGGCTTCCCAGAGAATGGGACACAGGGGTTGGGTTTTGAAGGATGGGTTTAGGCATTTGCTGGGAATAGATGGAGGGGAGGGGAATGAACATTCCAGAGAAAACAGTGTTCATTCCATATTGTATCCCCCAGAGCCTAGGACAATGCCTATCGCAGAGTAGGCACTTGAACAATGCTTGTTACATGGATGAAAGGATAAATAAATAAATGTTGGTGAAAAGTGCTGGTGCTTTGGGGAACTTGGGGAGGAGGGAGGCACTGGGCTTGGGAGAAGGCTGGACAGGTATCTGAGGGCATAAGTAGCTGGAGCCATGGTGCCTGAGGACAGATGTATTTACTCATTCAACACCTATTAAGCACCCACTGTGTACTAGGCAAATGCCAAGACCTGGGACTTGCTCACAGTGAAAGGACTATAAACCATGACAAGATCTGTGAGTGGAGTTAGCTAGGTGATGAGGGAAGGGAACAGCATGTGGGTGTTACTCGTGGAGGACTTGAAACTGAAGAGGCCAGCAGGGGTGGATGGAGTCAGGCTTGCAGGCTACACTAAGGATTTAGGATTTCATCCCAAGAGTCATGCGGAGCCTTCAAAGGTTGTTCAGTGGGAGAAGGCTTGTAATCTGCTCATATCAGACTCTGAAGAGGTCATTTCGACCACAAAGCAGAGTGAACGTAGGGGACGGGGAGGCCAAAGCGGGAGCTGCTGTCGTGTCAGCCGGGAAACTCTGTGGTGTGGACACTGCTGGTGGTGACAGGTGGGGAGAAGTTGGTATCTCTAGGGAATCAATCAGGCTGTCCTGAGACAGGGAAGGTCAAGGAAGAGCCCTTCACACATAGGCCACGGGGCTGTCCCACTTTCAACACTCGGGGTGGCATCCCCCAACGCAGCCCCACTGAGAGAAATCCAGTGCATGTAGCTGATTTGGGAAGTGAGGGAAGTGGAAAAGGAGCCAGAAAGAGTGCGTTTTCCATCAGGCTACCCCTGCTGCCGTCACTCTGCCCAGGTGAGAGGCGAGAGGACTTCTGAGTTTCAGAATCTAGGTGGGCCTTGTGAGTACGGCCCCTTGGAAGTGGCTCCTCGAGATTGAGCTGCCCTCCTGATGCGCATGGAACTGAGAGGAGCCTTCCAGCCCATCCCTGGCCAGGCTGCAGATCTATGAGCTGAAAAGGTGACTGAAGCCTAAGTTTTGGGGGTGGTTTGCTACATAGCATCGGACAACCCAAACACCAGAGCTTTGGGATTTCAGAACCTAGCAATTCAAGCCCTTGTAAAAGGAGGTCACATGGGGTGCCTGGGTGGCTCAGATGGTTAAGCGTCTGCCTTCGGCTCGGGTCGTGATCCCAGGGTCCTGGGATCGAGTCCCACATCGGGCTCCCTGCTAGGCAGGGAGCCTGCTTCTCCCTCTGCCTCTGCCTTTCTCTGACTCTCATGAATAAATAAATAAAACATTAAAAAAAAAAAAAAGGAGGTCACAATCCCCAGAAGGCAGAGAGTCAGGTGTCACAGGAGAGTCAGACCCTGCCCTGTCCTTCGGGCACCGTAGGGGTACCATACTAGGCCCCTCTACCTGGGCCAGGACCTAGAAAGACAGGAACTCCAGGTAAGTGTGGGGAGATCCAGAGCAGAAGGGACCAAGCTTCAGGGTTCCCAGCCGAGCGTGTGGTGAGAACAATACAGGAGAAAGGTCTAGGTGGCCTGGGAGCCCGAGACAGTCAACTGGTAAAGGCTTGAGGTCCCAGATGGGTGTGGCAGGATGCACCATATTTGGGCACCGAAAAGTAACCAGAAGGACTTCATTGCATCCCCTATATGGGACAAGTGGCTAGACTTGGTCAGGTTCTGGTGTCCACATAACTCCCCTTGCTGGTTCCCCCTGCTTAGGGGTGCTGCCTGTTGCCCAGAGCCCACAAGCCTATTAAGAGAATCCTCGCTTGGTAGTTGAAGGCTGTGGAGCCGGCTGATTAGCTGTGTGGCCTTTGGCAAGCCCCTTGCCCTCTGTGAGCCTCTGCTTCCTTCTTTGTATACTGGAAGCACTGACAGAAGTCTTAGAGCAAACACTTCCTAAGGGATCATCATTATGTCCAGCATAGGATACAAATGGATGTCCGGGGTGGGGGAAGACTTTTTTTCCTTTAAAAAGCTAATTCTCACCAAGTTTTTACTCTGCACCAGGCATTGTACATACACTGACTCATTTAACCCTCAAAGTACCCCCAGTGAGGTGGGTACTCTTATCACCATCTTGTATATGGGAAAACTGAGGCCCACAGAGATGAAGCAGGTAACCACTAAGTGACCTAGCCAAGATTCGAACATAGGCAGGCTGGCTCCACAGTCAGTGTTGTCTCTTGCTGAGGCTCAGAGAGGGGAGGGCTCTGGCTCCAGAAGAATCAAGAAGGAGGGCACCGAAACTTTGGATGGGGGGTCTGGGATGGGAGGGGTTGTTGAGACCTAGAGAAGTTGTGATCTGCATTTTTGCCTGGGTGAGGGGGGCTGGGCGCCGCACAGGAGTCTCTGGATTTTCTCACGACTGTGATAGGACCTCCCTGTCAAGCAGGTGTGTGGGCAGAATCTAGTGCGCCCCATGTTAGAGGGCAGTTTAGAGGTAGGTGGGTGCGGGGCTTCTGAAGGGCCTGAGCCCTCACAGGCCAATTGCTCATTATGCAGGCAAGGGGTCCCTGCCCAGGCGTTCACACACCGCGGCCGAGGCGGGACTGAAGCAGGAGCCCTGGCCGCCTGACCACTAGCCGCAGCTGCCTTCCTCCCGCCACCACCACCACCTGCGCCCACTACTGCTGCGTCAGAAAAGGGCAGGAGCCAAACTTACTATAGGCTTCGTGCCTGCCCCATTTTCCCCAGCACCTGCTGCTTCTTGGGAAGGAAGGTGGCCCGGCAGGGAGCTTGGGGACAGCACTAGAGTCCCAGGTGTCCAGGATTCCCCCTCTCACAGGCCCTGCCGGCCTAGCCTTGCCCAGCAACGACACAACCCACACCTCCCAACAGGGACTGGCAGGTCCTTCGGTTTGGAAACTGAGACCCTGACTAGAGGTGTGCAATCCCTTCTGCTTAACATACATGACCTCGTTTCGTTCTCACAGCTAACCAAATGTGGGGGTACTAAGGTTATTCATTTTACAGACCAGAAGACTGAGGTTCAGAGAGGGTAAGTCCCTTGCCCAGGGTCCTACAGCCCGTCAGGAGGTCCAAGATTCAAACCCATGTCGGTCAGTCTGGTGCTTTGGCAAGCTGGGGGGCGGGGGCGGCAGTGGAGAGGATGCAGAGACACACGGGCTGGGAGCAAAACGGCCAGGGAGGTGAGGCTGAAGGCAGATGCCAAGGCCAAATCACGAAACCAAAGATGCATTTCATTTCAGTGAGTATCTGGGAAGGCTGCTGGGGAGGTGAGCGGAGCCTCAAAAAATCAAAATGGAGATGGGTGGAAGGAACTGGCATTTCAGGAGGAAGAAACAGCTTGGGCGAGGGCCAGGAGGTGTGACAGAGTATGTCTGAGCGAGACTGGCGCTCAGGGTTCGTGGAGAGGGGAGAGGAGGCGAGGCCCGAAAGGTCTCAAACAAAGGCTCTGAACGCCAAGCAAAACAGATGAACTCGATCCTGGGAGCCCCAGGAGGTTCTCGAGAAGAACCCGTAGCTGGGGACCCGCCCCTGCGCGGAACCGCCACGCCTTTGCCCACGCCACCACCCTATCCAACCGCACTGCTTCAAAACTTTGGAACTGTCCCTCGTAATTAGCTATAGTTTTGCCTTCGCCGTGAGCCTACTCGTCCCCCTGAGTTTCCTTCCGTCGTTCCCGAAGAGGAGCCCCTATACCCATCTTTAACCCGAAGGAAAACCGACGCCAAACCCCCGCGCGTCCCGCGGCTGCGCACGCGCCCGCCGCCACCGGGACGTGACTCGTGGAACGTCCACTCCGGGCGGCGGGGAGGCGGCGGGGGTGGGGGGCAGGGAGGTGCCCCCTCAATGAGTCCAGCTTGTGCAGCCGTCGCCGTCTGGACTTAGAGCTGGGACCCGGTGCTCTCGGCCCCGCAGTTCGAGGAGTTTCGGCCGGTTTCAGAACTTTCCTAAAGAGTCTGAGGGCTTTTCTCCGTTGGCGTCCACATTCGGGCACTTCCATAGCCACCCATTCACCCTTCAGGGGTCCTCGACGCCCTCCACGCAGTTAATTAAGTGACGGACGCAGTAACCAAGGCGACCACTTGATTGACGGACATGAATGCGAACCAATTTCCGGAAGCTCCCGTCTGGGCCCGCCCGGCGCGTGGCCGGTGACCCAATGAAAGAACTGGAAACGCAAAAGGGGGCGGTGACGGGGCAGCCTAGGTTGTGGCGGTTCCCCGGTGGTTGCGCGTTGAGGGCTGAGGCGTTTTCGAGCATTTGGACGATGCCGTGACGCAGCATCGCGAGAGCGTTGACAGTGTGAGCGCACCCCTGTGGAGGGAGCCTTTCGGTCGCGGAGGTGGCGCGTCAAGGAGGCAGGTTGCTGTTTGAGGGTGCTCCCTCGGAGCCCTTCAGTGAGTGGGGGAGGGGCGTCGGACACCGAGCGGTCCCCGTCTGCGCTTGCGCGGGCGCCTCCGGTGACCCGGCCTACACGCACGCGCATGCCCGCTGCGCTTGGAGCCGCGGTGGCTGGCGGCATTGCGCGTGCGCGCTGAGGAGCTCGCTGAGGAGCGGCGCTGGCGGACGTCGGGCGAACGGCCCGTGACGTCGTGAGGAGCGCTTTAAAGTGCAGGCTGGGCCGGGCGTCTGAGGGTCTGGCTGGGAGTCGGGTCGGTCCTCCGCAGCGGCCCTCCGCGGCATGAGGCGCTGCCGGCGCCCTTGCTCCGTGGGACGTGAAGAAGGTGGGGAAGGAAGCCCTGTTACCGCCACCGCTGCATGACCCGCCGCCCCTGAGGCCCGACCCCGCGCCCGGTCCCTCGACGCCCCCCCCGCCGGGTCCCCCGGTCTCGCATGGGGGCCTGGCGCTGAGGGAACCCCATTTCTCCGGGGGCGCCGGGGCGCGTCCTCCGAGAGCCATGCCCGGCCGCCCCTCCGGCCCCGGAGGACCCTAGAGCAGCGTCGTGGGGGCCATGGCGGCCGCCAGCGGTTACACGGACCTGCGTGAGAAGCTCAAATCCATGACGTCCCGGGACAACTACAAGGCGGGCAGCCGAGAGGCAGCGGCCGCCGCCGCCGCCGCCGTAGCCGCCGCTGCCGCCGCCGCCGCCGCCGCCGAGCCTTACCCGGTGTCCGGGGCTAAGCGCAAGTACCAGGAGGACTCGGACCCCGAGCGCAGCGACTACGAGGAGCAGCAGCTGCAGAAGGAGGAGGAGGCGCGCAAGGTGAAGAGCGGCATTCGCCAGATGCGTCTGTTCAGCCAGGACGAGTGCGCCAAGATCGAGGCCCGCATCGACGAGGTGGTGTCCCGCGCCGAGAAGGGCCTGTACAACGAGCACACGGTGGACCGGGCCCCGCTGCGCAACAAGTACTTCTTCGGCGAGGGCTACACGTACGGCGCCCAGCTGCAGAAGCGCGGGCCTGGCCAGGAGCGCCTCTACCCGCCGGGCGATGTGGACGAGATCCCCGAGTGGGTGCACCAGCTGGTGATCCAGAAGCTGGTGGAGCACCGCGTCATCCCCGAGGGCTTCGTCAACAGCGCGGTCATCAACGACTATCAGCCCGGCGGCTGCATCGTGTCTCACGTGGACCCCATCCACATCTTCGAGCGCCCCATCGTGTCCGTGTCCTTCTTTAGCGACTCCGCGCTCTGCTTCGGCTGCAAGTTCCAGTTCAAGCCCATCCGGGTGTCGGAACCTGTGCTTTCCCTGCCGGTGCGCAGGGGAAGCGTGACTGTGCTCAGGTAACCCACCCGGGAGGAGGGGGCGCCCCTGCATCCTGCCGCCTTAGCTGCCCACCCTCACCCAGGAGGCGGCAGCAAATAGCTCGCCTTTACAGTTCTGACCCATTCTTCTGGTTTGGGTGGGAGAAGGGGCAGGGGGGAAAAGGGGTCTGTGTTTAAAACACGTGTAGTAAGGAAGCAGGGGAGGGGTCGGAACGAATCTAGAATTTTGTATCCCGAGGGCAGGTTTGGCGTGATCACACACGCTTGACTAAGAATTGATACAAAGGCGTCTTTCTAGAAGGCTGAGATTTTAGGAGTCTGTTTTCTGTGTGTGATTTTAGCAAGTCATTTTTCCGTTTCTGGGTCTCTGTTTTCAAATCTGTGTTTTTAAAGTTTTTTTTTTTTTTTTTATTTACTTGAGAGAGAATGAGAGCACAAGAGGGAAGAGGGTCAGAGGGAGAAGCAGACTCCCTGCTGAGCAGGGAGCCCGATGTGGGACTCGATCCCGGGACTCCATCCCGGGACTCCAGGATCATGACCTGAGCCGAAGGCAGTCGCTCAACCAACTGAGCCACCCAGGCGCCCTCAAATATGTGTTTTTAAAAAAATAAGTGGAACTCTTATCTGAGAGTCTTTCCAACTCAGTCATTTTCGTGCTTTAGTTTTTGTTTTTTTTAAGCGGAAGACATGTGTAAGGATTTCTTTTTTTTTTTTTTAAAGATTTTTATTTATTGAGAGAGAGAGAGAATGGTAGAGAGAGAGCATGAGAGGGAGGAAGGTCAGAGGGAGAAGCAGACTCCCTGCCGAGCAGGGAGCCCGATGTGGGACTCGATCCTGGGACTCCAGGATCGTGACCTGAGGGCATGTCGAAGGCAGTCGCTTAACCAACTGAGCCACCCAGGCACCCTGTAAGGATTTCTTAACCGAGAAAATATGGAGGAAGGTCCCTGAGGGTATTTAATAGATACAGATTCTCTCTTCCCAACACTTTCCAGGGAGTGACTTCCCTGGAGTCGAACAGATGAGTGGTTGAGGCAGAAATATAGAGTGTAGCGGACTCTGAAAATTCAGCCCCTGTTGGCTGCAGAAGAGCCTGTTGGCCCTTTGTAAGAATGTGTTACCTGTTACCAGGGCCATATGAAACCAAATAAAGCGGATCTTTTTACCTGGTATTTGGCTTTGTAGTTGCATCAGGCACACAATTTAGGTTCTTGGCCTGTTTTGGGTCCCAGATCCTGCTGAGAATTCGCTCAGTACCCTGGCCCCCAAGAAGATTTTCTGCTGGAACACCTTTGTTTATGTGGAGTAGGAAATTTTTATTGGGAGGCGCCTCCTTCCAGCCCTAAAACAGGTAACCTAGCATTGTACTTCAGTAATCCCCAAAACCTCTTAGGAGCTCTAGACTGCAGCTGCACAGAGCGGCTTGCTTGACCACCAAATTCTAGTATAGGATCAGAACGTGCTGAGTTTTTGTGAACAGCTTAACCTCTGAAGTCCGAGCCATGGGCCCTGGTCCTGGGGAGAAGTGGGTTCCTTAATATGAACTCTCTCTTTTTTTTTTGAAAGATTTTATTTATTTATTTGATATGAGGCAGGTCATCGATCTCATTTGAGTTTAGCAGCTGAGGCTGCTTCTGTATCTGGGAGTGGCAGCAGAGCCTTGTGATATCCCAAGGTCTCCTGATGGGGAAGTTTGGGAAGTCAGTGGTAGCCGAAACAGTACTTTGGCTTCCTTATGCGTCTGAAACTTAGACGGCCACTTATCCGTCAGGTGCCCCTTTGTCATTTGGGTTTCCAAGCTTACCCTTGGATCTAAGTGGTGCTCCCAGATTAAGGTCTTAGTAGAGCCCTTTAAGATGGGATTTCCAGGGCAGACCCTCACAAGTGGCTTGCTGTGTAAGGCAGTTTGGTGTCTGACTTCGTTGAAGGGCTCTTGATCCTAAAAGGAGCTCACAGCAAGGCCGTTTAGTCTCTTAAGGGAATATTGATTTTCCATAGTCACAGGTCTTTAAGGTTGTCATGAGGAGGTCTGGCAGTGGTTGGGTGTGTAATGGGTGATCATAAGACGCAGTTTGTGACTTTGAGGCTTTCCCTCCCCCTAGCGCGCGTGCGTGCGTGCGCACGCGCACACACACACCCTGTTGAAGAGCAGAAGTTTCAAGTTCTTAAAATACAGGTCTGTTAGTGATCAGCAACAGGATTGCATCATCAGGAAAATTCTCTTCATCTTTTCCTTGGAATAGTAAAGTCCTAAAGTTTTCCCAGTTCTTTCCAACTCCTGGATTCTGACTTGGCTCTGGTGTTAATGCGGGAGGCTCAGCCGTATCCTGAAAAAGTGCTGCCCCAGGATTTGACTCCAGCTTGGCTGTCATTTGCTTTGGGACCTTGTGGGCATTCTCTGAGCTGGCTTTCCCATCTGTAAAGTGGGGGTAATGCCAACTTCCAAAACCTTTTAGAACTAATCTTGGCGATTTGGTGTTTTATACAGAGCCTGGCATGGGGTAGGCACTTAAATGGGTATGTGTTTTCATACACAACCCATTTAATGATCCCTTGATCTCTTGTTTGGGAAGGGGCTAGGGATTTGATGGAGCCTGCATCGTGGCTCTTCCCTTCATAGAGTTCACAGCCTAGTGGAAGCCACAGACAGTTACAGCCCAGGAAAATAACTGCAGGAGTACTTTGAAGGTGGGGGGACCATTTTTGGAGTGTTAGAAGTTTTTAGGAGGAAATGAGGTAGAACTTGAAGGGTGACTAGAACTTAGCCAGGCAACGAAGTTAGCAGTGAGAACACGGAAGCTTTGGTGGCAGTAGCAGTGAGTAGCCATAGGTAAGGGGGGTGGGGGGGGCAGGTAGATGCTGACTTGAGGCTGATGGAATTCGTTTTTAGTTCTCAGATTCAACCTGGATCTGAAGTAGAGATTCTGGCGAGGCATGCCATGGGAAAGCACTAGATCAGATCTCATCCGTAGTAGTACTAGTGACATTTTGTGCTGGCTGATTCTTTGTTTTGTAGGGGCTGGTCTGTGCATTGTAGAATGTTTAGCAGCATCCCTGGTCTTTGTCCACTAAATAGCAGTTTCACTTTTATGGTGACCAAAAATGTGTCCAAATATTGCCAGATATCCCAGGGCGGGGCTGCAAAAATCATTCCAATGGAGAGCCACTGCTCTAGGGTTCTGGATGCCTCCACTAATTTTAATTTTCTAGCACCTGCTCATTTAGTACCCTCAGTTTACTTGGTATGCAGGTGAGTGAACACCTGCCTGTTAGTAATGCCTCTCTTTAAGGGCTGCTTGGACTCTTCTCCAAGCTGGTAAGAGGGGATGCTTTCTTTCACTTCCTGGTATGTATCCCAGTCTGGAAGTGATGAGCTGTAACTTTGCAGATTGGAAAACTGGGGCTGGTGAAAATACTGGTTCTCTGAAGGTGGGGAGGGTTTTTAGTAAGTCTCATGTGACTCAGACATCAGTTGTTAGCAGTGGAGTCTATACCCGTTCCAAGGCTACATGGCAGGAATACTGTTTATATTTAATAGTTGTCAATGTAGACATTAGTATGTGGCAAACATTGACTCAGCGGTATCCAAATGTGGGCATTTGGAGCAGTGCCTCACAGACCCTTCTGGAAGTGCTTTAAAGGTCTTTGCAAATCCAGTGTTTTTTCTTGTTGTGTTTGTAACCTTCCATGTTGAGCCTAGTTGGTCCCCTCTTAATGCTCTAGTCCAGGGAAATAAGTATCTTTTTACCTTCTTTTCATACCCTTTCTTTCCACATTCCTTCTCCTGTTCTCTGTAGGGTGAATGGGCAGATTAAAACACATTTTAGTTGGATTAATTAGAATAATTACCTCAAGACTAATTGCTTACTTGCTGCTACTTTTAATCACTGCTACATGGTCTGTGGTTGTGGTGGCCACATGCCCAGAGACCCAGGCCTTAGCCACCTGTCTGGAAATGACTTGTTACCACCAGCCATGGGACACGCAGAGGTGAGCGCAGCCTGTAACTTCTAAGTAATAACTGATATTGGGTGGAGTGGGCATCTCTGTCCGTTCTGGGCTAAGAGCTGATCTTGTTCAGCTGTTTGAAAGCAAAATTTAGCTTTCTGGCTTAAAATAGTTGGGAAAGTAGGGCAGATAGGTCCTGGGCCACATCTCTTGTGTGCAGTCTTCTGATTCCATGGCAGGGGGAGGAACCTCAGGATGAAGTCAGGGCTGTGCGTTCTCAGGAGGAGCTCTGGGCCAAGGGGATTGGTTGTACTTGGTTCTGCCAGGCCTAACAAGAAGGCAGAAGCAGCAAAGGGAAGGAAGCTAGCAGGTGAACCATGGTCTTAATCGTGACGCTCAGAGCAAGCAGAAAGTAAATAGGTCGTACAAATTTCAGGGCTGGCTGGCCATTAGAGGCATAAGGCAGGCTCATGGGGGCTGCCCAGAGTGCAGGTAGCTGTAGCTGAAGGGAGGCTGTTAGGCAGTCTTAGTGATCTTGGCCAGTCCCTCCACCTCTGGTTCTGTTCTGTCCTGGGCAGGGCACAGAGTGGATGTTGGGGAATGGTGGCTGTCTTGGAAATGTGCTTTAACACTGTCTCCAAGACTGTCCCCTAGAGGAGAGATGTACAGTCCTGCACGGTCCCTTAGAGTTTTTCAGACTCTTCATTTAACCTGCACGTAATCCTCTAAGGAAGGATTTGCTTTGAGGTCTGTTTTGTAGATGTAGAAACAGAACAGTTAAGCTCAACACACGTTTCATTTAGTGTCCACTGAGTGCAGAGACGAATAAGGTCTTTGCAGCACTTAGTCTTGCAGGGAAAACACAATTTCCACAAAGCCAAACATAGTAGTGGGGGGGGCGGTGCGTGGTGTGGGGGAAACCCAGCCTGGGGGATTTGAGGAAAGCTTCCCTGGGGAGAAGAAAGACTCTTAAGAGTCACTGAAAGCCATAGTGCTAGTGGGTGATGGAGCCAGGTCTGTCACTCTTGATGTTTGTGGCGTGCTGGTCACTGCTACGTGGGGTGGGGGGGACTTGAAAGGACTCAGCCCAGGCAGGGAGCAGGAGGCTGACCAGCATGAAGTATTTCCTCTTCTCCCTTCCCTGTGAAAACAAAGAGCAGGAGGCACTGGAACTTTTTCTTCATGCCAAGGGTAAGGCTGGACCCAGGGCATATTAAGTTTCAGGCTGGCATACTCTGACTTTCAGACAGTTTCTCTTGTAGTAAGTAGGTTTCTTAGCAGTAAATAAATCCTCTGTGGTCTCTGCTGGACATTTTCTGTTGAAGTTTAGCCAGAAGAGCTTCCCTTGGCCAGAACTTAGAGCCTTCTGCTCCCAGAGAAGCCTGAGATACTGAGGAGGGGTCAGTGGTCTATGTCACAGCTGCCAAGAAGTTCTAGAAGACCAGTACTAATGAGCTGTTCAGGTGTGTTCAGTGCCACGGTCATTTCTGGGGGTCCATGTGGTCTTACCTCCACACTAGTTCTTCTGAAGCCTGGGCTTAGTGGCAGAATTCTGGAGCCCTTTGGGAGGTGGGGGCAGTTAAGGTTTGACAGACGTCTGCGTTTACTCCTTCTGCATTAAGGGAAGTGGTTCCTTGTTGAAGATGGGAGGTGAGGGTGGAGGTACCTGTAGCCATGTCAAACCGATTAATACTTGCAACAGTAGGAAAGGTTGCCTGTGGCTAGTACTGCATGTTCAGGCCTCTTTAGAAATGTGCCTTGGGGGGCACCTGGGTGGCTCAGTCGTTAAGCATCTGCCTTCGGCTCAGGTCATGATCCCACGGTCCTGGGATCGAGCCCCGCATCGGGCTCCCTGCTCGGCGGGAAGCCTGCTTCTCCCTCCCCCACTCCCCCTCTTGTGTTCCCTCTCTCTCTGTGTCTCTCTCTCTCTCAAATAAAATCTTAACACAAGCAGGGGGAGTGGGGGAGGGAGAAGCAGGCTTCCCGCCGAGCAGGGAGCCCGATGCGGGGCTCGATCCCAGGACCGTGGGATCATGACCTGAGCCGAAGGCAGATGCTTAACGACTGAGCCACCCAGGGCCTGGCCCCAAATAAATAAAATCTTAAAAAAAAAAAAAAAAGTGCCTTGGAATGCCTTTGGGAATTGGATTTAGCTCTTTGGGGGAAGTCCTGTGTTTACACAGGACTGTCTTGCACCCCACACCTGCATTCTCCCATTGTGGAGTGACAAGAGCCTAGAACGAGCTCTGGAATTGGCTCTGGGAATGGGGCCCATGAGGCCTCTTCTGCTGGCAGATCCCTGCAAGAGGAACCCAGATCACATTTCCTGGGCAGGTACTGAACCCAAGTCTCTAGCTTGCCCCGCGGTGGTCCAGGGCCCTCTGGCTTCCGTCCTGTGCTTAGTAAATGGGAATGCCGTGCCAGGCACACTGTGTTATTATCTAACTTAATTGTCAAAATAGCCCTACAGGTTCCAGGAGTGTTAACCATGTAGTCATAGAACTCTAATTCTGCCTACAAGGGAAGAGACAGTGTTCCCCCTTTTTTAAAATCTTATCATTTGGTGCACCTGGGTGGCTCAGTAGGTTAAGCGTCTTGACTCTTGATTTCAGCACAGGTCATGATCTCGGGGTCGTGAGATCGAGCTCTGTGTTGGACTCTGCTCAGTGCAGTCTGCTTGGGATTCTCTCTATCTACTGCCTGCCCCCCACTCTTGTGCATCCGTGTGCGTGGTGTCTGTCTCTCTTTCAAATAAATAGAAAACCTTATTATCATTAGTGGTCATAAAAGAATACGTAAGTTGTAAAGCATAACAAAGTGAACACCCCAAACCTACTACTGTCCTTATTACAGATGAAGAAACAGGTTTAGGCCCCCAGCAAATGACTTCCTTAAGGTCACAACGCTAGTAGGCAACAAAACTTGGGTTCTCACTCAGGTCTCTTCAACTCCTCTATCTCTCTGTGGCATTTCTCACTGTAGGCCTACAGATACGAATATGTGTTGAGAGAAGTTTCTTTGGTCAGTGCTCCATTAAAAAAAAAAAAAAAAAGATTGTTTTGCTGTAGTAATTCTCAGATCCCTTAATACAGTCATGCTTTTTTAAACTCTTCGATATTTTCCACATTGATTTGGTTGTGGACATTTGTCCATAGTCTGTTCTAGGACTGATGTTCCCAGAGAAAACTGAAAACCTCTGGTCTAGGAGCAGCTTAGAGAGGAAATCTTTAAAATAAAGGTTCTGGGGATGCCTGGGTGGATCAGTCAGTTAAGGGTCTGCCTTCGGTTCAGGTCATGATCCCAAAGTCCTGGGATTGAGTCCCACATCAAGCTCCTTGCTCAGCAGGGAGCCTGCTTCTCCCTCCGCCTGCCACTCACCCTGCTTGTGTGTGCGCGCATGCTCGCATGAGTGGTGTCTCTGTCTCTCAGAAATAAAATCTTTTAAAAATGGTAATAAGGGGGTTTCCCTCTTGGACTTATTTTTTATTTGTCTTGCTTCTAATTCTTGCCCACATTGGGGCAGCCTGGCCATTTTGAGGCGTTCCTCCCAGGCCTGCAGTGTTTCTAACGGTCACATGGGTGTCTTTATAGCTGCCCTTGAGAAGGGAGCTGATGAGCAGCTGTGCAGAGGAAGATTTGTGGTCCAGGGTTGGCCAGGGAAAAGCTGAGCAAGACAAGGCTGAGGTGTTCACCTCCCACCGCGCCTGTGTCTGGCTGTGTAGAGCCCTGCCTCGGCTCAGTGGAGGAACTTGGGGTGGGAGTACCTCTTGGGGGCCATGCTCCTGGTGATGGCATGTGAGGAGGCTCAGGATGCTGAGTTTGCTTCCGGAGTTTCAAATCGGAAAGATGTTAGCTGTGAAGAGGACAGTCATCTACCCACATTCATTGGTCTAAGCAGTTTTTTAAATTGTGTAACTTGATGAAAATAAATAGATATTTGAGTGTGATGGGAATTCTTAAAATATCCCAAACACAGCTGTCTTCAAGATTTTTGGATCCCCCCAAATGGAGGTTTTTGAAAGCTTGTTTTCAAGTAGACAAATTGAACATTGCAGCCTTAGTTCTCTGGTGACTCAGGGCTGTCCGTGTCTGCCTTGGCTTCCTCTTTGCGCTGAAGGGGGGCGGGGGCAGGGAAGGAAGAAGAGGAGATGCAGTTCTTGTCTTCTCACCAAGGTCTGACCCAAGTCACTCTGGCTGCCTGCAGAGTGACTAAAGGTGTACCTTCTTGGGGGCCCTGTAAAAGAAGGGCTCTTGGCTTGTGTGGAGAGATTGCTGCTGTGGTTTCTGCCTTCAAGCCTGCCTTTGCCTCATCCCAGGTTTTTTCCTTGAGTGGAGCATCCTAGAGCTTCACAGGTGATTTCCCTTTCCATGTAGATCCTTGAACCTCTCAAAATAACAGGGCAGAGGTGGCCTTAAGACCTGGACCATATTTTTCTCTCTTTACCCTGTGGGAACTTTGGTTGTCTGTTCACTTTCCAAGCTCATATGCTCTGTGTTTATTTTCAGTGGATATGCTGCTGATGAAATCACTCACTGCATACGGCCTCAGGACATCAAGGAGCGCAGAGCGGTCATCATCCTCAGGAAGTAAGTGCCCCGGTGTCTGGCACCTGCAGGACTGTCTGGAGATGTAGGTCTGGATTCCCTTAGAACTTGGCTCCTCTTGGCTCCTCTGTATCAATAGCATAGCAGCATGAAGCCTGGGAGAGGAAAAGGCTATCAGGTCTCATACTTTTTTGATTTTAATTCTTTGAGGAAAAAGCGGTTTTGTCTTTTCTTCATTGGAAAATTAAGTTCTGTGTCTGTTTAAGGAGTTGGGGGCTGAGCCAAAGCACATGCTCCCAGTGTTTATGGACACAGTTTTGAGACAAGATTTGGGGACCCCTCTTCCAGACCTCCCCTCCCCCTCTCTCTTTCCTCATCTCTTTGGTTCTGATTTGTCACATGTGATCTTGCTGAGTATTTTTAGACTGTGCCTTAGCAGCCTGCTTTAAAAACGCCTGGGTTTTCACTTCTGGGAGGAGCAGGGAGTGAGAAGAGGAAACGAAGGTGGGAGGTTAGGCTGCAGTGTTTAGCAGTGGCATAGCTTGTGGCTGTCTCTCCTCTCTGGCCAGGGAGTTAGGGATGTACTGACCGACATCACTAGACCTGGCTCTTTAGCACTTCTGGTTTTCTGCTCATGGAGTGAATGGACGGAGCCAAACAGATGCTGGGTCAAGACAAGCTTGTCTTTAGAGTGGAGTCCCAAGAGGCTAGATGATTGTCCAGGCTTGTCAGGAGAGCAGACCCAGTGCCTGGACCCCACCCACCTACCCACCCAGGCTGGAACACAATGTCCTATAGCTTGCCATCTTTTCTTTTTCTTTTTTTTATTTAAATAAACATTATTTTTAGAATAGCTTTAGATTTACAGAAAATTGTAAAGATAGTACAGAGTTTCCACATACTGCGTGTGTACCACTTCCCCGATCTTAATGTTTTATATTAGTAAGATACGTTTCAGTTAAGAAAGCAGTATTGATATGTTATTATTAACTGAAGTCTTTATTTATTCGGATTTCCTTAGTCTTTTCTTAACATACTTATTCTGTTCCAGGACCCCACATTACATTTAGTTGTCATGTCACCTTAGGTAGGCTCCTTTTGGCTGTGACAGTTTTTCATACTTGCCTTATTCGTGATGACACTAACTGGTCAGATATTTTGTAGAGTATCTCTCCATTGGAATTTGACATTTTTCTAATGGTTCTACTGGGGTTCGCGGTTTGGGGGAAGACCACAGAGCTAAAGCCCCCTTCTCCTCAGTCCTGTCCAGGGCACAGGACTTCTTACTGTTGATGTTGACCATGAACACCTGGGTGAGCTTGTGTTTGTCGGTTACTTCTGCACTCTAAAGTTACTATTTCCCCTGCCTTAGGAAGGAAGTAGCTGTGTTCGTTGGTTACCTTCTGCAGGCAAAAGTTACTCTTTTCCTGTCTTAGGAGGGAAGTTGCTATGTGCAGCCCACGCATAAGGAGTGGGGAGTCACCACCCAAGTTATTTGGAATTCTTCTGCAAAGACATTTTGTTTCTTCTTCTTTTTCATTTGTGTATTTCTTTATTCAGTTGTTTACTTACATCAATATGGATTTACGGGGTATTTGTTTTATGCTCCAGTTATTCCAGCTTTTGCCATTAGGTGTTCTCTCTCTCTCTTTTTTTTTTTTGAAGTACATCCTTATTTTTTGGCTTGCCATCTTTTTAATTTCAATCTGTAAGTTGAGCATCTTGGCCTTTTGGGTCCAGAACTCCAAAATAATGTGGTGGATGAAATCTCTTTGGCATGGCTCTGCCACTTTGTCAAGTCAAAACTTGGGGTGTCTGTTGTACCTATATAGAATGGAAATGCTAGAGACCTGAAGGACAGTCCTGGGGTGCAGGCCGAGTAGCAGGCACATGTGGGAGCTGCGGACGGGTCCATTTAGGAGCTGGCAGCGTCTTACCTGTAGCCTAAGAATATTCGCAGAATTCATCAGAAGAAGGGTTTTTATCTGCCGTTCTTTCTTTTCCTCTGGTTCCCAGCACAGGCCAAAACCCAGAACACGGAAGTGATACAGCCCAGTTGTAGCTCCCTTCTGGCCTCTTCTCCCCAGTCATTTCTTCCTGGGCTATACTGGCACTTCCAACTCAGCCAAGGCCAAGCGGCCCACCTAGGCCAGGAGCTTGGAGAGGAACTCCTAGAGGGATATAAAACCAGAGCAGCAGCTTCCCAGGTGCCCTGCAAGCCTCTCAGAATACCTTATCCCAGAGAAATCCTCACTGGAGGCGCAAAGGAAGTGGCCAAAGCTGGAGTGTCAGGTCATTCTTTCAGCTCTTTCTTTCCTCTTCAATGGTGGCTCCCTTACTTGACTTCCCGGGCTGGCTGGGTCGGATGCTTCTCAGTGGAGCTAGGAGCCTACACTGTTAACCAGGTCCCCCCGGAACCTCTTTGGCCAGCCGGGCCCCTGGTAGTGGTCTGAGAATGACTGTTGGTAGGTAACTGATGCTCTTTGACCTTTTGACTTGAATGGTCCCAGGAGCCAACCACAGACTGGGTTAGAGAACAGAAGCACAGAGCCTTGGTTATGAGGGGGGCTGGAGAGGAGTGGGAGGATGGCCCTCAGCCAATACTGCCCAGCTGTAGGGAGACAACTCAGGTTACCAGATGAGAGGCCCAGGATAAAAGCCGGGTTCCTTGTTGGGCTTTGCCTGTCCATGCAGCCTAGCCTTTTGGCGTTTTCCTTGTTGTCTTGTACTCCACACTTATATTAAAGTACTTGGAGCTCCTAGTGTGATCCATGGACTTGCATCCTTGCAGCAGTGTAGCCTCTTTTGGGAATGTTTTCCCATCTAACATGATCATCTTAATCCTCCGCATCCTACCCTGCAAATGACCCACGTATGCACAGTGAAAGTTGGTTGACTTAGTCATCCGTCAAGGCTCAGGTGTTGATCGTTTTGATACACGGAAAGCATCACACACGTACCTGTAGCTTTCCCAGTGTATCCCCTCCCCCTTTAGACTGTTATATATAGTCTATATTTGCCATCGTGAGTTTCCAAATCTGCATTCTGTGGCGGCGGGGACCCTGTTCAGTCAGGCCCAGCATTGAGGCCTGGCCCAGAGGAGGTATCAGAGGAGGACAACACAGGTGAATGAGGAGCAGCTCCAGAGTTAGCTGTATGGGCTTTGTCTTGGAAAAGGACAAGCTGGTGACAGGATGAAAAAGGGAGCATCCTGGCCCAGGCACTGCCCAGACATCAAGGATGTGGCCTTGACAGGTACCTGGCTGACCTGCTTGCTGGTAAGGCTGCATCTAGATGGGTGGAATCTAGGCATTGAGCCTGGCCCTGCTCCTCATAGGCAGAGGGGAGGAAGCCAGTCCTGCCTTCTCTTAAGTTTGGATAAAAATTGTACAGGCTGTTGTGGGAGGGCTTGGGTGGCTCTGTCACGAGCTCTGGTCAGTCAGAGCTGGGACTATCCTTCCAAGCGCCTCATGGGGGGAAATGGGTGGGTGGCCGCCAAGTGCCTTTTGATTCAACAGAATGTGGCGCCTTTGAATGTGGTTGGTGCTGAGTCTCCATGTGTGTGGCACCATTGTTTCTCATAGGGAGGACTGGGAGGCTGGGAGTGACCACCTGAGGGTTTCCCTGTGAGTGGAATCCTTGGGCTGCAGCTTCGTATTATAATCTGCTCGGGGTCACAACCAGTAAACGGCTGAGTAAGACCTTGACCCTGGGTCTGCTGGTACGTAACAGGTTGGCATTTTGCATGCCGGAACAACACAAGCAGAGTGACTGCTGTCTTAAAAGCACAGAGTGTATCTGCTGGAGCCCAGCAAACAACAACAGCAACAAGAAACAAAAATTTTAAAAATTACATCCAGCTCGGCGGGGGTTGGGAGTGGGTTCGGACAGGGTTGGTAGATCTGGCTCCTGAGCTGGAAATCGCTGGCCAGGCAGAAATGGTAAGCCCAGGGCGCCTGGGTGACTCAGTCGGTTAAGCGTCTGCCTTCCGCTCAGGTCATGATCCCAGGCTCCTGGGATTGAGCCTTGCATTGGGCTCCCTGCTAAAGTGGGAGTCTGCTTCTCTCTCTGCCCCTCCCCCTGCTTGTGCTCTCTCGCGTGTGCTTTCTTTCAATGAAATGATAACTCTTGGGGCGCCTGGGTGGCTCAGTTGGTTAAGCAGCTGCCTTTGGCTCAGGTCATGATCCCGGGGTCCTGGGATCGAGTCCCACATCAGGCTCCTTGCTACTTGGGGACCCACCTTCTCCTTCTGCCTCCCGCTCCCCCTGCTTGTGCTTGCTTTCTTGTCTCTCCGACAAATCAAATCTTAAAAATTGAAAATTCTTAAAACCAAAAAAACCAGTAAGCTTAAAGGCTAGAAGGTGTGAAGTATAGAGGATCTGTGTAGTTGAGGGGAGGTATGGGAAGAAGGTCTTGGATCAACTCTTGATCATCAGGAGATGGCTTGTGGGCCTTCAGGGCCTTCAGTTGGTGGCCAGGGCACCCAATCCCTTGGTCTTCAGGAGGCATCCAGGGCTGCCCTAGGTCTGCCTACAAGATCTTGTATTCCTGCATGGCTAATCTCCCTAGTACATAAAGTGGCTCAAGGCAGTGTTAATAGCCCATTTCTTTGCTTTGGTTAAGTGAGCTCAGCTTAGTGGGTTGAAGCTGGGAAGAGCAGCTAGAGGTTCATTTGCCAAATGTTAACCAAGGCTGGTGTGCCAGGAAGCAGTGGGGTGAGGGATTTGCATGAGAGAGACTTTGTAGGAGGCTGAGTTAAATGGCTTATTTGGTCCTTCAGAACAGGGGATTCCCAGGGGTCAGGGGGAGACTGTTCCTGAAAGCAGAGTAACCCCAGTATGAGGCTCTGTGTGTGTATGAGCAGAGGGTGAGAATGGAGGGTGCCTTCTGGGCTTCGTCCATTGGGGGGGAGGGGCAGGGGTGGCCAGCTCTTGGTTTCCCTGACTCGGCCTGAGACATTGCCCCCACCAAAGACCTGTGCCATTGTTTCTGTCTCCATGATTCTTGTCCACTGGGCCAAGGATTAGCCTACCTTTGTTTCTTGGTCCAGTGAGTATGTGTGTCTATGTGCATTTACCCTGCACAAGGAATGGGGGAGCAGTTAAGACCACCTGGGGATGAAACTGGCTTAAGCTCCTGGCCTGGCTTTGCCCTGTCTTCACTGAAGACAAGTTGGTTATCTGAGCCCTGTGTCCTCACCTATAAATTGGGGCAGTGGTGGTGCTAGGGATGGTCAAATTCAAGAATGCTGTGCCTGCTTCTCCTAGCCCCTTCCTTACCATACTTGTTCTCTGAATTTGATGAGTCGGGCAGGGGATGAGGAAGACTGCTGTCTAGTTGAGGGAAGGTGTGAGTGAGTTCAGGCACAGCGTGAGAGGAAGGCGAAACCTGGAGATAGGTTGTTCACTGGCCCAGGCCGGAGAAAGCAAGCTTGTTGTTTGGCCGCCTGCTGTCGTGGAGGATATCGGTACCTAACCAGGCCTGAACGGGGGATTCCTAGGCACCCATGATGCTGGCCCTGTTGTCTGGCTATCATCCGTAGAGCTCTGGGTTACAGGTATGTGGTATGACATGTTGGTAATCAGGCTGAATGAGTTGGAGAGGCCCTTGGGGCCTGGTTATTGTGCAGGCCTGGGTATGGAGGTCTTCTGGAAGCCCTGCTAGGACCATGGGCTTAGGGTGCCATCTCTTTGGGTTATACCCCTCGCCTTTCAGGCTCTCCTGAGACCGGTGTAGAAGCCTGCTGTGGTCAGAACTGTCTTGTGGGCAGTGAGGTATGATGTTGGAGGGAGTTTGGTGGAAGATGGGGAGTGGTGTCAAAAGGGGGTGGGTACTGTTGCGGGAGAGAGAACAGTGTACTGTCTGCGCTTTGTGGGAATCTGATACTCAGGTGCTGCAGCTTAGGCCTAGAGGCCTAGGTCACTCAGTAGATAAGGGTGCTCAGACAGGCCTGCCGCACTGCCTCTCTGCTCCATCTTGAGAGTCAGGCTTTGTAAGCACAAGGGTGCTTGGTGTGAGGGTGGAGCCGGGAGTTGTGGGATGGTTGGCTCGAGGTGCAGACTGGTTCCTGGTCTCCCAGAAATGGTGGTCTGCCTGGACAGCAGTCTGCTCTGTTGGAGTACAGAGAGCCCACCTGGGCTTCAGAGGCCATCGTGGGACAGTAGCTGTGTGACTTAGGCCAGTGATTTGGTCTCCAGTATAGCATTGCTTCCCATCCTTACGGTGGAAGTAATCCTCAGCAGCTCCTCTGAAGGATTAGAGGATTCAGTGAGTGATAAAGGAACATGAGGAGAGCTCCTGGGATGGTCAACTCCCTCTCTTTGCCCTCAGGTCACATGTTAATGTGTTAATATTAATGCTTAGTCATCCTCCCTTTGTTTTGGCTTCCCCAGGATCTGTGTCCAATCCCTGCTTTGTCCTGGGGGCTGTCCTGACACCGTGGGTGACCTCACATACCTGGGGTGCCTTGCTGTAACCCCTGGATGTTAAGTCAGATCTGTGAGGCAGGTGTCTGTTCCTCTTGCCACCTGAGGAGGCCCAGGCCCCAGCCCTTACTGCTAGAACTTCCCGACTTCCAAGTTTATGGATTTTGTTTGCTGAACCCTGAGGGGCCTAGCATGCTCCTTGGAAGTTAGCTGCCTTTTAAGAGGGGTGTTCTCAGAAATTAAGCTGTCAGTGGGCACTGGGTTTGGGATCTTGCTCTAGCCTGGCTTCCTGCAGCATGGTAGCTTTTTGGAAGTGGAGGGAGGGCAGGAACTTCTCCAGCTATTCTGAGATGTACTTGTAACAGCCCCAGGGGATGTGTCAGGAGCGCTTTGGGGACACAGCTTATATTGCCCCCAAAGTGGGTACGAGAGACAGGGTTTTTAGTAGGGCCACCTCTGATCATCCCTTCTCTTGAGGGCCGCCTCCTGATGGCGGTGGTACTGTCTCGTGCAGAATATCCTTCCCCTCCTTTAGGCAGTTCGAGAGAAGCAGAGCCAGTCCGTGTCCTTCGCTTGTCTAGTCTCAGCTGGTCCCACCTGTCCACGTAGCCTCTCCAGTGGCCCTACCCCCATGATGGGGGGCCACCACCACTGCCCAGGCTGGCCGCTCAAGACGGGCGGGGGGGGTCCCCTCCAGGGATCAGTGTGTGCAAGCTCTGCCTGCGTGGCAGGATGTGCTCAATGTTTTGCAGCCCCAGAAGTGCCGGGGCCAGCCAGGCTCTCCCTTGGAGGCTGTGCTCTTGGTTCTCTTGCCGTCTGTCAGTCATCTGAGAAAACAACTGCAGGCTGCTGGGCCCTGCCCGCCAGGGCTTCACTGGGGCTGCTTCGTCCTGCTGTATTTTTCCTGCCCTGAGCATGTGCTCCTGGTACCTGTGCAGTCTTAGCATTGGTGTTAGCTCCACCATGCTGGGGGTGGGGGGGGCTTTCCTCCATAAGTCTTCACAGCCTTGGAGGCCTCTCAGCCAAGCTTAACAGCTGATGTCTTACTTGGTCTGCTCTCCGCCACCTGGCCCTCTCAGCCAGGAAGGGTTGGGGTGGGGGGATGAGGCCTGGCCTGGTAATGAAGAGGTCCTTGGGCTCCAGTGATTTCTAACTCCCACCCTCGTGTCTGGGTGTTGGCTAGCACCACCTCTTCCTGATAACCCTCTCAATCCTAGCCTTGAGGGGCGCCTGGGTGGCTCAGTCAGTTAAGTGTTTGCCTCTTTAGCTCAGGTCATCGTCTCAGGGTCCTGGAATTGAGTCTGGCTTCCTGCTCAGCAGGGAGTCTGCCTCTCTCCCTCCCTCCCTTTCTCCCTTTCTCCCTCCCTCCCTTTCTCCCTTTCTCCCTTTCTCCCTTTCTCCCTCCCTCCCCCCTTCCCCTCTTCCCCTCCCCCTCTCAAATAAATAAGATCTTTTTTAAAAATCTTTTTTTTTTTTTTTTAACATTTTATTTGTTTTTGGGAGAGAGAGGGAAACAGCAGTCGTGAGCAGGGCGGAGGAAGTAGCAGATTCTCTGCCGAGCAGGGAGCCTGATGTGGGGCTCGATCCCAGGACCCTGGAATCATGACCTGAGCCGAAGGCAAATGCTTAACTGGCTGAGCTACCCAAGCACCGCCCCCCCAAAAAATCTAAAAACAAAACAAAACGAAAAACCTCCTAGCCTTGAAGGATGCCACTGGATTTCTAGACCCTTAGAACTGAAAGAGGCCCTGGGACCAGCCACACTTCTTCCTACTTTGCTTAGGTGGAGAAATAGGCCCAGAAAAGGGTGGAAACCAGCCTGGATTCTAAGTGGCACCATTAGGGCTGGATCTTCCTTTTGCTGCTAGGTAGGTCCTGGTTCCCTGAGCCTGGAGGGCCCAGAGTGGAGGCCGAAACTGGCAGGCCAGTCTGTACAGCTGACCATTCTGCTTCCGTGTCCATGAGGCCAAAGCAAACAGGCAGGGGAAGTTGCCCTGCTGGTCTGCCCACCGCTTTGGGCCTGAGCCTGTTAGAACTTTGGTTCCCAGCTAGGAGGCGCCCCCTGCTGGCTACAGGAGAAAAACCCCTGCCCAGGGTCAGAGTCCTGTGGTTACTGCTTGTCAGGCTTGGTTGGAGTCTCACCTGGGCTTAAACCTTTCTTCCACGACTTCTAGGACCCGTAACCTTTGGGACCTAGTTTTCCCCATCTGTTTACAGCAGGTCAGCCAGTCGGGGGGCGGGTAGGTAGAGGGACCTGTGAGCTTTGCACGCAGTTGTTACGAAGAATACCATGTGGCTTAGGCCAGGGCAGCCCTCGGATTTCCCTCCTGCTGTCTTCCCTGCAGTGTTCTTGTGAGGTTGCTTTGCTCTGACCACAGCACCTTCCTCAGAACCAAGTGACTGTTTTGTGCACAGCTGCCTTTGGGAAGGGTGCCTTCAGGGCCTTTTGCCAGATGTGTCCCCATCACTCCCCTCCCCAGGCTTCTCTCCTTGCTGCCTTGCTCCCCTTGCTGCCACCAGCCTGACTTGCCAGGCTTCTCTGTATCACACAAGAAGCCTCCAGGCTTTGAGGTTTCCCAGGCTAGCTTCCTCCTGGCCTGGCTTCATAAAGGACTCCGATCATGGCCCTGGACTATCTCCCTGCTCACCTTCTCCCTCTCCCCTGTCCATACTTGCATGTTTTCCCTTTACTGGGCAGTGTGTTCCTTAAAACTCACACCCACTGTTTGGTGGGGATTTTGCCTTCAAAAGCCTTTTGGCCTTGACTTGGATAGCATCCTGTAACTGGCAGAAGCTGCCAGGTGGCCGTGGTGGGATCATAGCCAAGCGTGTGAATGTTGAGTTGGGCCTGGGCTTTCCTGGCTCTGCCACAGCCTTAGGGTTCCTGTAGGAGAGTCTCTTTTCCCTTTTGTAGGCCTGGACCAGGGGAACCTTCTTTCCTGTCTTGATATTTCAGGAAGGATGAAGGCATCTGCTTGAATATTATGGGGCCCTCAGTACTCTGGCAGGTGGAATAGAAGCCCCTGGAGAACCTCTGGGCCGAAGGAGGGTGAGTGGGGCTGCTTGTCCAGCTAAGAGAGAACCCTGGATCTTTCCCCCTGGTGCAGCAGATCCCTCTCACTAGAGGTCTCCAAACAGAAATGTTCCTGTTCCTACTCCTAAGCCTTAACTTAAGAAGGTGGGTCTTTGCAAGTCAGCCAGACCTAGTTGAACCATGAGGAAACTGAGGCACAGAGCAGAGACTGCTGGCTCCCCGCTTCCTGGCCAGAGAATTGGTCTGATGGGGCCCACACCCTCCCCAGAGGCCCACTGGTGACCCCATGCATGTTTCCTTTGCAGGACGAGATTAGACGCACCCCGGTTGGAAACAAAGTCCCTGAGCAGCTCTGTGTTACCACCCAGCTATGCTTCAGATCGTCTGTCGGGAAACAACAGAGACCCTGCTCTGAAACCCAAGCGGTCCCATCGCAAGGCAGACCCTGATGCTGCCCACAGGTGCTCAGCTTAGGGACCTTCAACAAAGGCCAGCAAAGCAGCCCCATGGCCTGGCTGTAGGGTGAAATGGGTGGGGGAAGCCTGGGGTGGGTGGTTCGGAGCCTGGCATTGACCACCTTTCCAAGCCTTATGTCTGCTGCTAGGTCATTGGCATTGGTGGCATTCCCACCTAACCCGTGACCAGCTGCCTGCACCCCCAGAGAGCGGGGGTTCAGACGAGATTCTGACAAGTGGGAAGGCTTTGTGGGCTCCCTTTGACTTGCCTCGTTCAGTCCACCCAGACAAATACTCTTGTGGGGTATACTTAAATGTTAGGAGGGAAGCTCGGGCCATGGAAGATAGCAGACCAGGGACCCATTTCAGAAGGGTTGGGGAGGATTTCTGGGAAGTGTTTAAGCGGAGATGAGAAGGGTGAGGAAAGCCGTATGTGAAGGCGCATCTAGGCAAGAGGTACTTGGGCTGAAGCCCTGAGGCTGGAAGAGCTTACTGGTCAGGGGCTAGTGGAGTTGGTGAGCAGATGAGGGGTGGGCAGAGCATGGGGACAGAAAAGAGGAGGTGATGGCAGGACGGTGCAGGGCCTTGAGGCTGTGCTGGGGTGGGAGGAGCCTCCTGTCCAGCAGCCTTGGCAGTGTCCTGGCGTACTGGACTCAGCCAGGCAGACCTCCGGAGGTGTTTCAAAGACTAGACGTGGCCACTGCACTTAGTGGGCAAAGGGCCGATGCCAGTGCGTCCGCCATTGCTGCCCCTCCTGGAGAATGGCCGAGCTGGAGTGCGCCAGCCCACAGGTAGTGAGGGACGCTTCCATCCACCTCTTCCCTTGCAGGCCTCGGATCCTGGAAATGGACAAGGAAGAGAACCGGCGCTCAGTGCTGCTGCCCACACACCGTCGGAGGAGTAGCTTCAGCTCCGAGAACTACTGGCGCAAGTCCTACGAGTCTGGGGAGGACTGCTCGGAGGCGGCAGGCAGCCCCGCCCGAAAGGTGAAGATGCGGAGGCACTGAGGCTTGCCGCGCCTCCTGGGAACTCTGGTTAATACTCACGGAGCTGCCCCCTCCTTCTGTTCATGTCGGTGTTTTGTTTTGTTTTTCTTTGGTTTTTGTTTTTCGTTTTTTGTTTTTTTTGATCCTTACGTTTTTTTCCTCGGGTTTGTTGCCTGTTAAGGCTGAAGAACAGAATTGGCTGGGACCTGATTCTCATGTTTTTGGTTTTCCTACAAAATGGAAAGGCTGTTGGCATCTATAGGGGACAGAAGCTCACGCTGGAGTGGCCAGTAGAGGTGGGGGGGTAGCTGTCCTCAAGTGGGGCCGTGTCAGACTGGGTTTATTTAAGAGCAGCAAAGTGTTTTGGTTAAGAAAATTCTTGTTTTGCTTTAAATGTAAATCTTCCTCCGTGTTGTAAATGAAGTTCAGTCTTCTGCCCCTTCTCCCCATCCCCCCCCCATGTCTGTGTGCTGGGTTGAGATCTCATGTTCCTTGTTGGCTCTGCAGGAGGCCTGCTGTCCTCCCACATCTCACCCATTCTCCAGGCCCTGGAAGCTCACGCAGATACCCTCTTCCTCCTCCAGCAGAGTTGTTCAGGATGCCTGGGTGGAGGTTTAAACAGTCTTCTGCCACCCCAGAGCTTTTGGCTGAACCCCTGGGCTTCCTGCACGCCCATTGGCCTGATCTGCCCACAGGTCCCTGAGCTGCTGAGGGGCTGGCTACAGTGGTCCTGACCTTTCTTGCCAGGAGCACGCCACTTTGCTGGGTTGCTTCTTTCAAGCATATGCGTGTGATTGTACGGAACAGTTAGACTTACCACGTTGGGGCAGTTTTAGGAATTGTTTCTAGCTAGAGGGACTGGTGTCCTTCCAAGTCTAGCATTTGGGGTATGGAAAATTGTTGTGGTGTGTGGTAGGGTTTTTGTTTTCTTTTGTTGTTGAGTTTTTATTTTTTCCTTTGGTCTTCTGACTTCTTCCTAACCCTTTCCTTTCTCCTACGTTGGCCAGCGTGAGCCTTCTTTCCATGTCATCCCCATAGGAAGGTGCCTGTCCGCCCCCTCTGTCTGCCTGTAGCATGCATCCAAGGCCAGAGCTCAGGGCTGCAGACTGGGTTGGTGCCTCCTCTCCTTCAGGGGCGTGGGAGCTGGGGAAGGGGCTTTGAAGAAGTAATAAAAGGAAAAAAGATAAAGTTTTTGGCAGTTCCCACCTACTCAGATCCTTGAAGGTTGCAAGGTTTAGATGATCTAGATTCATTAGGAATGTCTCCTTGCCAGCCAAGGCCGAGACCCAGGCCTGCTGAGAGCAGAGGCCTTCCCAGTCCCCAGGCTGCCACCACCCCAGGGGGCCTTGTCTTACAGAGGCCCAGGCCTGAGGCTGCAGAAATCTAGGGCAGCCACCACCATCAAGAAGAAGCCCCTCTCAGGGCCCAGAACTCCTTTGCCAGCGTGGATTCAAGTCGGGACTGCATAACTAAAGCAGTTGCAGTTTTATTTTTTTTTACAGCTTTTTTCCCAAAAATGATTTGTAGTTGTGTGTGCAGCACTTTGCCCTGATATGTGTGCTCTACAATAAAAACCAAATCTAATATATTTTGAAACAGTTGTCCGATACTGTTATAAGAGAGGACTTGCATTTGGTGCTTCCTTAATCCCCGTATTTCCTTAACTCTGAACCCGGCTGGGGAGGCCAGACAGAGTTCATTGCCCACCAGGGAGGTCCTCATGGGAGGTAATAGGGCTGAGGGCCGAAGGTGAACTTGCCCCTCTGCCTGCTGTGCTCTCACCCACTCCCAGGAGGATGGACCATGTGTCCAGGTGCCCACGATGCCATGGGCCTACAGGAGCCAGGATCACACCCTGCTGAGTTTTTGAAGCCCTTCCCCCCACTGGACGTGACAGGCTGTGTGCCAGTGAAGGAGGGACAGAGCAAAGTCAGGGAGAGCCTGGCCTTTGTAAAAGATAAGCAAGTGATCTTGCTCGTTAAATTCTTGAGTTCCTACTATATTCTGGCTGAGCCCTCACTGCGACCTCATCAGTGAGCAAAAATCTTCTGATCCCTGCTTTCAAGATGTGTACTACAGAGTTGTGGGATATAGTTACAGGCGTCAGGCAGATGTGTTTGTGTGGACTGGGGTTGGAGCCCAGAGGGTTTTAGTCCCTCTAGGTCCCAGACCTGGCTGCCAGATTCTGGTCAGCTTGGGTCTACAGTCTCCCTTGTTGACTTCCAGTGCCCAAGCCAGTCTGGCCAATTCTTGCTGTGGAAACCTGGCAGCAAGTCACTTAACCGCCCATTTCAGAGAGGAGAAGAGAGAATCTAGAGGGAGCAAGTGACTGGCTAGGGCTCAGTCCTGGAAATGGTGACAGGATAGGAAAGGCAGTGGGGGGGAGGAGCCTGCGTGCGGTCTGTGGCTAGTTGGGCCTGCAGGGGTAGACTGGGTCACGGTTGCCCCAGAGAGGAGACACGAGCTGAAAGGGAAGGTAACTTGCTCAAAGTCCTCCAGACTACAGGGCAGAGGGGGGCACCTCCCACTCTGTGCCCAGGCCCCTGGCTCAGGCATAGAATGGGGGGCTCACGTGGAGGGCTGGGGAGCTGCAGCTCTACGGTGGTAGCTATGACGGAGTCACACCTGGGCTCTTCCTAGTCCCAAAGAGGCCCTTTGCTCTGCAGGAATGAGAGACCGGAGAGGCTGGGGCAGAGGGGCTCCAGCCCTGGTAGCTTCTGCTGCATCATTGGCTTCAGTCTCTGCCCAGCGGTTCCACAGCACCCCATCTCTGGACTAAACTAATTTTCTGAGTAGTCCCTAAGCCTGCGGGGGTTCTGTACCTGACTCCCTGAATCTGACTCTGCCCCCACCCCAGTCTTGCACACAGTAGGTGCTCTATCAACATCTGGCACTAGCCCTGCCTTCGTGGGGAGCCCATCCCATTCCTTCGATCCTATTGGCTGGGGGAAGTTGAGGCCCAAAGTCCCCTTCATTCAAAAATATGAGTGTCCTACTGTGTGCCAGGCTCTGCGCTGGGTGCTGAGGATACAAGACAGACCTGGTATAGGTCTCTCACACACACAGCTGTTCTAAATTGTGCCGACATAAAAGGTGTGTAGCACAGAAACTACAAATAATAAAACACACAGTACACTCTTTGTTATTAAAGTTCTGTATAGCCAAGTGTTCCTCACAGGATGCTTTTGTCGATCTTTTTGATAGATTCTTTTTTTTGTAGCTTATCTGTGGTTGTAACTCAACCGTGATATGGCAAATGGAGTTGTATCCCATTGCTGATTATAGTTTTCCAGGGCTCCTGTAACAAATTACCACGAACTTGGTGGCTAAAATATCAGAAATGTGTTTTTTCACAGTTTGGAGGTCTGAAATCCAAAATGACGATTGCTGGGCTGAGATCATGATCGAAACCATGCTCCTTCTGGAGGCTCCAGTCCTTGCCTCTAAAAGCTTCTGGTGGCTGTTGACGTTCCTTGATTGTGGCCCCATAACTCCTGTCTCTGCCTCCGTGGCCACATGGCTGCCTCTTCTGTGTGTACTAAGTCCCCTTCTGCTTGTCCCTCATTAGGACACTAGTGATTGGATTTAGGGCCTACCAGGATGATCAAAAATAATCTGCCCATGTAACGATCTTTAGTCACGTCTGCAAAGTGGAAAAAAATGTACAGATTCCAAGGATTAGGACCTGAAACCTCTGGGGGTCACTGTTCAGCCTGCTACACTACTCTTTTCCTGATAAGTCTGTCATTAAATCTGGTACATGGCCTACTGATTTCTCATCGTTGGAACAAACTATGTTAATTGGATTGAAATTTCTCAGCCTCAGCACTACTATTAAATTTAATCCGCATTATTTTCTCTACTGATTTCTTAAATCTAGACCTGTGCTGTCCAATATGGCAGCCACTGGACAGTTTGGCTGTTGAACACTTGAAATGTGGCTGGTTTGAATTGAGATGTGCTTTAAGTGTCAAATACACACTAGAATTTGAAGTTAGTATGAAAAAAAGAATGTAAAATATATCATTAGTTACTTTATATTGATTACGTGTTGAAATGACAATATTTTGGACATACTGGGTTAAATAAAATACACTTTAATTTCACCTGTTTCCTGTTACTGTTTTAAATCTGGCTACTCACAAATTTGAAATCACGTATGTGGTTTACATTCTGTTTCTATTGGATGGCACTGGTCTAGAAAATCAACAAATCCAGCCTGATTGGTGGCGTTTGCTGATTGCTGTGGTGTAAACACTCCCTTGGTGGCTGATGGAAAGCTGTCAACATAAGGTCACTGAACACAGAGTTGTGAAGAGAGGGGGACAGAAGCACACGGTTGTATAGGGTCTCCACCCCACAGATACCACAGATGTAAGGAATGAAAACGTACAGACAATAGCAAGACGGAACATAGGAAGTGCTTAGTTTTGAGCACTACCTTTGTTTTTAACATAATTTTATATAATTTTCAAGAATGTTTAACAAATGAATTGCAAAATTCCTTAAAATTTGACAATTGGCGCTTGTGAGTAGCTTCCCATGGGAGGGTTTTGAGCAGAGGACGTGATCAGACTTAGGATCCCTCAGGCTGCTGTGTTGAGGACAAGTCAAGATCATTAAGAGATTGGCACTGGCAAGAGATTAAGGGGCTCCGAACCCAGGAGCTGCGGCCTACGGTGGGGCTGGAGTTCTCCAGCTAGGTGTCTTGCGTGCTCGCTGGTGCAGTACCACCCCGTGTCCACAAGGAGGCAGCAGGGTCCAAGCGACAGTGCTTCAGAGCAGGGCAGGAGAACTACTGCACCTCGGTTTGGATGGGGAGCTAAGGCCCCACAGGCAAGAACTTAGGTTCCCCGCCGCTTCTGCCCTGCTCGGCCAGGGCCCCCAGGTTTAATGGGTGTGTGGAGGGGACCCGACTCACCAGGGCATGATCCTGTGAACCTCTGCAAGTGCCAATGCCTCTGCCTTCTCTGGCCCTCAGCTCGTCTCCTCAGGGTTGCCTCTGGGCTTCCCCAGGCCCCTGGCTGGCTTCAGCACAGTCCTGAGTGTGCTGTGTGGTCCCATCGCTTCCACTCCAGGCAGGGAGACTAGGACCCAACTCCCCACCCCCTCCTGGACTCTGTGAGTGTGGCCCTTGACAAGCTGTCCGAGTTTATTCTCACCACAACCTCTGATACCTTACTTGGGGGCCTGGGCTCAAATCTTGACTGCTACATACTAGCTGTGTGACTTCGGGCAAATTACTTAACCTCTCTGACCTTGGTTTCTTCTTGTGTGAAATGGGCATAGGATTAAATGAATGACAGTGGTGCCCTGCATCGACGGAATGCTCAGTGCTAATAAATGGTAGCAATTAATATTTGCCCCCATTCTGTAGATGAGTAAACTAAGGCCCAGAAAGATGCCATGGCAGAGGCAGGATTAGAACTTGGGGCTATAGGAATGAAACAGTTAAGCCTACCACAGCGTCAAGCTGAAGCCTCAAACCCGACTCTCCTGCGGGGGGGCAGGTGCACGTGAATCCCCAGATCGGTCCCATGGCCCAGCGTGAGCTGAAGAAAAGCCCAGCTCAGGATCCAGGCCCCGGGGGTGGGGCGTGGGGGGAGTGTCAGGGCTGAGTCCTGCACCCAGGGTAGGAGCACTGGGCTGGCGGTCCAGAGACCAGTCACTTCTCTCTGAGCCTGTTTCCTCTCCTTTAAAATGAGGACAGGCTGGGTCTGCTCCAGTACTCTCCCTACTTGTCTGGCCTTTCCTTCACTGAGGCCCTGCACACTGTCGGCCTTCTGCGGACCGAGGCCCCCAGATCCACTGGCCCTTCGCCTGTCTGGGCCCTAAAGAATGCTCTCAGAGCCAGCTTCGTCTTGCATACTGTGCAGCATCGGGTGCTCTCTCCTCCCCACCCCTAGGCCCAGGCTCCCCAGTGGCCTATCAACCCCCCCCACCTTTCTCCCCCCCCAGGCCCTGCCCCCACCCCCACCCCCACCCCCAGCCTACACTCCGGGAATCCTCGGGCCTGCCAGGCCCCTAGAGGAGCCGCCAGGAAGAAGCTGCGTGTGTGGTTTGGGCCTCAGAGGAGGGTCGTGGCCTCGGCCGGGATCTGGGCCAGCTCCTGGAAGGCAGGGCCTGCCTCCCTCAGCCAGGTCTTCCTCCCCCTCCCTCGCTGCCCCTACTCTGCCTCCCTTTGGGGCTTTCCCACGTCACCCCTTCTTCCCTCCTTTCGCCCCTCAGGTGGCCTTGGCCAAGTCACTTCTGTCTCCTCAGCTTCCATTTATTGTCTGTAGAGCGGGATCATCCTTGTACCTCCCTCCAGGGTTATTGCCAGGATTCAAGCAGATAAAGCCCAGATACAGCATTTACTGGGACGTCTGCCTCTGAGGACGCCCTTGATGCATGCCAGCGTGGCTCAGGGACACCCTTGTTACCTACCTGCCTCTCCACATGCCATCCACCACCCTTTTTTGTGGATTTGACTCCTAAACATTGTGGATTATCGTTCCAATTTTAGTATATGTGCTGCCGAAGCGAGCACAACATTGTGGATTATCAGTTTGTTTGTTTTTTTTAAGTTTATTTTATTAAAGAGAGTGAGTGAGCAG